GCGAGCTCACAAGCCCTATAGCAAAAACCTTTCCAACAAAAAAGAAAAACAGGTGATCCTATCTGAGCTGGCGAGGGAAGTCTGAAAACGTAGGGAGGGGACGTGGAAATGCAGACCCTGACTGCCACCAGCCCTAGGGAGAGCTGGACTTCAGGCACCATCGCACGTTTGAGGTCCGGATTCCCGTGCCTCTGGAAGATTTGGGAGAAAACTGGTCCCCTTGGGGCGACGACCTACCGACACAGCCCCTGGTAGCCCGAATCTCACATACGAGTCGGGACCCCCATGACAGCCCGTCCGGGGATCCCCGCCCAACATGGGACACGCAGGGCTGCTCAGAAAAGGTGCCGGGAGGGGGCCCAAACCGCCACGCCCGACGGCCCCTCCGCCCCGGTCTCGGGCCCCACCCGAGCACTCACCATGTCCTGGCTTCGGGTCTGCGGTGATCTCCCTGCGGCTCCCTCACCCAGCGCAGGGCACAGGGCGGCCGAGGTAGCGGCACAGCGAGCGGACCGCGGCCAGCAGCTACGCGACGCTAAGCGGAATGCGGGGGCTCGCGTGATGACGTCACAAGGCTTGCGTAACGTGTCCACACCTACTTCTCCATGTCGCTTCTGATTGGGCAACTAGCGAGGCTCCACCCCTCCTCCGTCTGAGTGACAGCAGGGCGGGAGGGTAACCTGCGCAGCCCGAGTCTAAGCTCGGGTTCCAGGGATCAGAACCTGGCGTAACGCAGTGAGACCGTTCGTGGGATTGTCACCCTCGTTTACGAACGTGGACACTTAAAAGCGAGCGCACCGCGTCGGAGGCTGTCTCCGTTTGGTCCACGCTTTCACTCATTCCTTTCGCACCTCCACTTTAGAAAAGGAGGCCCTAGGGCGTCTGAGCACCGGGATCTGACATAAAGTCGGAACCCCACAGTTCTCGCCGGGTTGCGGGGTGCTTCTCTCACCAACCGCAGCTTACAGGACGGGCGCAGTATAACTCTCAAGTGTGCATTTTACACTGGAGGGTGTCAATGCCTTTCCAAGTGGTGAGTCTATAGGAAAAAAGAATCTTAAAAATTATTTAAGCTTATATATTTGTTTTTATTTGACCAGAGAGGGACAGAGCGAGAATGAGAGAGAGAAAGCGAGTGGCCAGGTCTGGGACTGGAACCACCGTTGGCCATGTGGGAGTCCAGCGCCTTTAACCACCATGCCACCTGCCAACCCCCTGAAAAATACTTTTCAAAAATTCCATCGTCATCACTGTGACCCGTCTAGTTCTAGTTGTTTTACTTTTTCAGCTTTTTTTTTTTTTTGCTAGCGAATGTGTATGCTTGCCAGAAACAGAGAAAGAGAGGAAAAGAGGGAAAGTGAGGACGCACTTTCTCCGCAGAGGATGGCCATGCTGCAATCTCTTCTCCTCCACTCTCCTCTCTGGAATTTAGGCATGCATGCACATGCTCCTGGCATGATTTTCAGGCCACTGGTCTGGGACTCCAACTGCACAACTGGCCACATGGGATCTAGCCACTTCAACCTCTACTCCACCTGTTGGCCCTGCATAGTCTTTATTTGATTTATGAAGTCTTCATTTTGAATGAATTATACCTGAGCCCATGTTCCTGGCAGCATAGCCCATTCTCTTCCCTTCCATTAGCTGAACCTTATGAACTCACGTCTTCTGCTGGACTTCTGGGTGTGTTCTTGGAACCAGTAAACATTATGGGCAAGCATTCTCAGATCTGGGGCTCCCTCAGACCACGTTGTAACATGTACACCTGAAAATTTAAATGAAGTGACCTTATAGGTCTTAGTGGTCCTAGAAAAGTTCCTGAGTCTTGGATCAGCAGGTGGCGTGGTGGTTAAGGCACTGAACACTCTCACATGGCCAACCATCGAGTCTCGGACCTCGTGGCTTGCTTTCTCTCGTTCCTTCTTTCTGTGTGTCTGTCTTTCTCTGGTCAAATGAAAATGATCGAATGGATAAATAACATTAAATTTAAAAAAATAAAAAAGAAAGAAAAGTTCCTGAGTCCCATATGCACGCGGCCGGCATGAGTTTAAGCCACCGGGTCTGGGACTCGAATCGTGGTCGGCTACATGGGAGTCCAGCGACATAGCCATTATGCCATCTGATGGTCCCATGGGTGCCCTTTTTGCGTTCCATAAGGTGGTCGCTCCAGCGCACCTGGCGATCAGGAGCAGCGGGAAGGCTTCGGTCTCGGTACAATTTCGGCCTAAGTGGAAACAGACCCAGCAAGAACTGATTCTCTAAGGCAGAACCAGGTATGTCCAGCCTTGACCTCTGATTCCCTAAGTGGTAGTCCCGGGCCCTCTGGGCTAGTTGCCACTCAGGGTCTAGGGGGCGGGCCATAGGAACCGTCCAATTAGGTGCGCCGCCGGAAGCGGTGGGGCGGTCCCAGAGCCGTGGCGCGTGGATAGGGACCTCGCTTCCGCGTCCGGACAGATTAGCCCGGAACCTTCGTGCAGTTTGTGTCCTCGGGTGGCACTACTGCATCGCGCTGTCACCTGCACGAACTGCAATGCCCAACATCCCTCATCACAAGGGAGATGCAGATTAAAACCACAATGATACCACCTAACCCCTGTCAGAATGGTGAAGATTGAAAATACACAAAGTGGTAATTGTTGGCGGGGATGTGGTTAAAGGGGAACTCTCCTACACTGTTGGTGGGAATGTAAACTGGTTCAGCCGCTGTGGAAAACAATATCGAGGTTCCTCAGTGATCTGCAAATAGAACTATTTGATCCAGCAATCCCACCTCTAGGTATCTTAAAGGACAGGAGAATGCTCAGTCAGAAAAGCGCTCGTGCATCAATGTTTATTGCAGCATTATTCACAAACGCTAAGATGTGGAACCAACCAAATGTCCATGAACAGATGAATGGATGGAAAAAGTGTGGCACATATACTCTATGGAATACTACTCAGCCATAAAAAACAAGACCCTGTCATTTGATAGAAAATGGTTGAACATGGAGGATCTTTTGCGGAGTGAAGCAAGCCAGGATATGAAAGAAAGGTATGTATCCTCTTAGTATATACCAACTCTCTGCACTTTATGGTAGAGATTGAAATATTGGAGGGCACAAAAGCAGTGAAAATCGTTATGGACACTGAAGACAGTGTGGGAGGTGGGGAAGAGAAGAGTATAGAGAAGAATAGCAAGGGAACAAATAGGCATAGCATTAGTGGGACACAGAAATGGCTTATTATGGAACGAGCTGTTAGTGTAATGGCTATGTCGCTGGACTCCCATGTACTGGACCTCAGTTCAAGCCCCGGACACGGTGGCTTAAACTCATGCCAGGCACGTGTGTGTGCGTGCCCAAGATCCCTAGAGGAGAATGGAGGAGAAGGGATTGCTGCGTGGCCATCCCCGTCTGTCTCTCTCTGTGTCTTTCTGGCGAGCACACGCACCCTATAGCAAAAACCTCTCCAAAAAAAAGAAAAAAAAAAAAGAAATGGCTCATTATCTGTTGATGATAACATGTATAGTATTCTCAGCTGGTTTTGTCTGAGAAGTATTTCATGTTGGGCAAATTCTTTGTATAAACCAAATAATAATATAGTGATTGAATGTTTAAAAAATTATAATAAATAATAATAATAATAATATGAAAAAATTGATGAAAAGCTATTTGATGATGGGGTGGATAGTACTGTCTTTGTCTTGACCGATATGCATGGTTATCATGCTGGAAAAAGAAATCTAATACTATGTAAAGATATATGTGATTGAATGTAATATAAAAAAGATTATGATAATAAAATGAAATAAAATTTTTAAAATAATAGTGGTATGAAATACATAGCAAACAGAGTGCTGCAAAAAAAAAAAAAAAAAAAAC